GAAAATCCTATATCCAGAGTACTCTGCCCATTTGTGTGTATGTGTGTGTATGCGTGTGTGATTACCAAGAACTACTAAAAGACCAACCGCTTTTTCAGTCCTGTTGTGTATTTCGTGCCTTGCCTTGACCAATCTAATGAGTTGATTAACTGGGTCTTTATACTTAACCCAATACAAAACTAAGCAAATATAAGTTAAATAAAATGTTTGAATAAAAAAAATAAGGACAGGGAGCATCTCAAGACAGAGCCCCTAAGGACGGGGAGTCCCAGAGGATGGGGAGACCCTCGGGATGGGGAGACCCTCAGAATGGGGAGACCCTTGGGACAGGGAGCCCCTCAGGAGAGAGAGACCCTGGGGATGGAAACACCCTTAGGACAGAGAGTTCCTGGATGGGGAGACCCTCAGGATGGGGAGGCACTCAGGGCGGGGAACAGCTTAAAGTATCTCAGGAGCACTGAAGTGGCTTCTTGAATCCCTTGTATGATCTCATCTCTAGGATACACACCACTCACTTTATTGGCTTCCAACTGAGACTCCAGAGCTCGTTTCTTTGAGCAAAGACCTAGTTAAGAAGAGAGAAAAACATGACTCTCAGAGGTCAGCGTTTTGGACAGAGATATACAGGTACCCTGGGAGGAAACAGCTCCCAGTTCTCACAGACCCCGGCCCCTGACATAGTGCCAACCTACCCAGACTCCTCCGAGAGCCAGCCCAGTCTCTCTGCTCATGCACACGCTCCCAGAGAGCGCTCAGCTCCGCGAAGGGGCCTCTGCTCTGCCTGGCAGGAAACAGCCACGATCAGGGGTCCTCATCTGCCGCCTGGCTCTTGGTCTCAGCCCACTTTTGCTCCTAAGCTGATCCAATCTAGGTAGCCTCAGCATGAGTTTCCCGGCTAAGACAGTATAGCAGACACAAGAACAGAATACTGACCTGTCCAGGAAGTAGGCCCTGGGTGGTCCCAGCAGGAGGCCGAGGAGAGAAAAGGGAAATGGGAGTTAGCATGGCCGCACAACACTGCTTGTCCAGGTGTACGAGACACTTGGATGCTTTGTAATAAACACCTTGCTCCACCCACGGTCTCCCTGAGAAGCTGAGTGACCCTCAGCCCCAGATCTGGGACAGATAAATCAGGGGCGGGGCTTGAGACGCAGGCTGGGCCCAGGAATCCAGGCTAGCAGTACTACCTCTAAGCCGTGTCCCCTCTGGCCTCTGCCTCCTGGGATTTCATACCCTTGTTGGGGACAAGCAGAGACGGACCATCACAGATTGTCCAAACCCCACATGAACTCTCAAAACTGCACTTTCGGCACCTACTGGGCAATTGACCAGCTTGGACAGTTTCTTCTAACCCGTGACACCTTCCACATTTCCAGGTCACATGACATCTGACGTGTAGAATATTTTGCATTTAATTAAAGCAACAACCACAGACTATATCTGCGGTTCTCGTCAGTCTCAGTGACTAAGGCCTTCCTACTGGGTGTTCACACCAGGTTTGTCTCCCATTTGCCAGTGAAACACATCTCCTGAGCCTGTGCATAATACTTGGTGACACTCAGTCACAGACAGTCTGAGTTGCTCTGGATGGAGAATCTTATACACATATTTGTTTGGCTTTGGGTCTCCAGGGAGGACACGGAGACAGTGTGGGAGTCTGGGAACCACTGAAGCACTTGTGGGTGGGAACTGCTGAAGGAGGTCATGCTAAGGTCCCCAGGGGTCACTTTTAATACCCTCGCTCTCTTATTCTAAACCTGTGTTTCTCTCCTTCCAGAACAGAACCCAGGAAACTGCAGTCAATGTTGTTATTAATATGGTTATAATACTGAGACTAACAATATTATTGCATTAATAATTCTGTATTCTTATATTATTGTTGTATTATTGTATATAATATACAATGTACATTGTATATAGGGTTGGAGCGATAGCAGAGCGGGGAGGGCATTTTCCTTGCATGCGGCCAACCTGGTCGACCCGAGTTCAATTCCTCCGCCCCTCTCTGAGAGCCCGGCAAGCTACCGAGAGTATCTCGCCCGCACGGCAAGCTCCCCGTGACGTATTCGATATGCCAAACACAGTAACAACAAGTCTCACAATGTTACTGGGCCCGCTCAAGCAAATCAAAGAACAACTGGAGGACAGTGACAGTGACATTGTATATGTGTAGAATGTATGTAATATATGCATGTGTATATATTTATGCATACAATGTATATACTGTATATAATGTATAAAATAACCATTGCATTATCATACTATGTTGTATTATTATTGTATTACTGTATTAATAATGTGACCTCCAGAACCAGCCACAACCATGCTGAGACCACTCTCCACACGCATGAAGGTACTGGCAGAGGAACAAAGGCATGCGGGTCCCAGGGCTGGGCTCTCCAAGCCTGCTCGGACATCTCATTATCTCATTCTTACTTTGGACAAACTGGCCAGTTACCGGATGCAACTTGCCCACACGGCTGAGTCTGGCAAACTCCCCGTGGCGTACCCAATATGCCAAATACCAGTAGCAATGATGGGTCTCATTCTCCTAACCCTAAAAGAGCCTTGAATATGGCACTTTTTAAAATTTCAGGGTTAGGACGAAGGAGACGTTATTACTGGTTCCTGCTCGAGGCAATCGACGAACAACAGGATGATCGTGATTGTGACTGTATTAATAACATTATTGATATTGTCAATTAACAGTTAACTGGAAATTCGTAACAAGCTGAAAGGAGGCTCAGTGGGAATGGGCTCTTTCCAGGGAATGTGCCCTGAGCAGTGCACGGCCAGGAGCCAGGGTGGGACAGAGGCCAACAGGCCAGGGAACTGAGACGAAGGAACAGAACCATGGAAAAACATGCAGAAAGAACATCGTGTGTGTGTGGGGGGGGGGGGGGGGGGGGAATGGAGGCGGGTATGCACACTGCAGAAAGTACGGGGATGGGGGCACACTGCAGATAGTACCGGGGGCATGCATACTTCAGGTGGTGGGGCAGATGGGGTCCCAAAGCGGACCCCTCCTTGCAGAGAGCCTACTGCAGACTCTCGGGTGTGACTTGAGGTGTCCCTCATCACCTCCCTCAAGATGACACCTGAGCACCGGACTGCTGCTCCTGTCCTGTGATACATGGGTAAAGGTGATGGTTGGGTGCCTCCGGAAAGCCCTGGAGTGGGCTGGCACCATTCTCCGTGCAGCTGCAGGAACCCCCGCAGATAGCTGGTGCTTTGGGGAGGAGCCAAGGGGCTCCCGTAGGTTGTGGTGCTGGAGAATGTGTCCTGTTCCACCCCGCACCATGACGCTTCTGGGGATCCTTGACCGATCAGGCTGCAGAGACATCTCAACCCCAAGAGGCACATGACAAGATGACCCCATTCACGCTCTTCCCTTCGTGGGAGACTCGCAGATTCAATTTTGTACAAGACCCTTCAGCAGGGAGACAGAACCTTGCTGGTGGCTCAGACGATAGTTCACATTTCTTAATTTTTGCTGTTGTTGGGCCACATCCAGTGGTACTCATGCATCACTTCTGGCAGTGCTGGAGGGGCCAAATGGGGTGCCGGGAGTCAACCTGGGTCAGAGGCATCAACGTGAGGTAAGTGCCCTTCCTTCTGTACTCTCTCTAGCCATGTTTGTTTTCTTCTAACCTCTTTTTTGAAGTAACATAAATAATCCAGAGTTCTGAATTTCTGATGACGGTCAAGAATCAGGGACACTGTCTCGTTTGCCAAAGCATCGAAAATCAGATGGGCTGGACGCATAATGAGATTTGGAGACGACGGCTGGACTAGAGCCGTTACCACCTGGATTCCACGAGACGTCAAAAGACCGCATGGCCGCCCACCTACGAGACGGTCAGACTTCTTCGTCAAGACCCTGAACAACTGGTTTGAGGCGCTTCATGTTTCCAGAACAAGCAGACGCCATTGGGCTACACTAGCACGCGACAGGGATGAATGGAGATGTTACCGGCGCCCGCTCAAGCAAATCGATGAGTAACGGGATGTCAAGGGATCAAGTGAACACATTCTTGTTTTGGAGCCATACTGTGCAGTGCTCAGGGGTTACTCCTGGCTTTGTGCTCAGTGACCACTGCTGCTGGTTCTCGGGAACCATTTTGGATGCCGGAGATCATACCCACCTGCTGTACTCTCTCTCTCTGGCCCCACAAAGTAACTTAAAGTCTGAGCAGTGTGCCATGAGAGATTCTTTGTTTTAGGGTGGTCAGGTTCTTACGCCTCAAACACAACTTTGAAGGCTTTTTTGATGGGGGGGGCACAGCCAGCTGGGCCAAGGGGTCTGGGACCACGTGGTGCTCGGATCCAGTCCAGGCCTCTTGTGTGCAAAGCACGTGCTCGCCTTGCCCTGGGGCTCACTTGGAGGCCGCGCAGGCGCCACAGGAAGCGAGGCTGTGATCCAGGCTGTGACCTTCCCTCCCTGCAGGACAAAGCACATCTTCCGCTGCCCAGGAGCCGGACCACCTCTGGACTCGGCGGGGTCCCTCGGGACTCAGCCCAGTGACTGCAGACCAGGGAGGAAGGTCACAGCGCTGGTGAGCAGCTTGGCCCCCTTTCGAAAGGCAGCTGTCGTCCCCTGGTCTTTCCACGCTCCCCAGAAGCAGGCGACCTGCTTTGAAGGCACCACCTGGCTGCAGGTTTATCTGCAAATGTCCTGTAACCCTCTCGTCAGGGGGAAACCCGCTCTGCCCAGAGCCAGACCCTCACTGAGGAGCTGACCTTGTCAGTGGGTCTCTCCCCTTCCCTGAGCACCCACTTAGCTGCAGCAGCTCCCTAAGTGCTCTGTGGGTGCTCTTCCCTCTGAAACCCCATCTAGTGAACCGCTGACTACTGCAACTAGAAAGAACTCGAAGGGTGGGAGCGGAGGTGGGTGTAAGGGGGAGCCATGTTCCCTGATGCCCCTTATGGCAACAAGTGCAAAATCTCATGAAACAAGAAACAAGAATCCAATTCTCTCAAGCTGGCCGCATAAAGATTTCTTTACTTTATATACGTATTATGTGCACATGTAAATAAAAAAAATAGTGTTGTCTCAGAGCATGACTAAGTCCAGCCAGTGAATATCATTCACACACGATATAGTCTTACTTTCTCAGACTGCAACAGTTCATTGGTCTACAAAGAAACCACATATTTAAAAAAAAAAAAAAACAGGATGCATAAAATACTTGATAAAGGAATGTCCTGGAAAAAGACAGTGTATGGCCCTGACCTCTGCCTCAGGAAATCTGTGCTGACAGAAAATGCAGCAAAGTGTATTTTTACGTGATCAACATTGTCTGCTTGCCAGGGAAGGGAATTCTCTTCACACAGCCAGAAAGTTGAAACTCTGAGCTTCAGTCAGTCTGGTAAGTCCTGGGTTAAGTACTAGATGATGGGGTAAATACTGGTGTGGGTACTGAGGCAGGTACTGGGTCCAGTACAGGTGTGGGTATTAGTATGGGTACTGGGGTGGGTACTAGGATGAATACTAAGGTGGGTATGAGGTGTGGACTGTGGTGAGTCATGGGCTGGGTGGGCACTGGATGGGAACTGGGGTCAGTGCTGTCTTTTCAAATCCAGTTGTGAAGCATTTGGCGCCATCCCCCTGGGCCCCAGTGCCAACTAGGCGGAGGGTTTGCTCAGAGAATCCTTGTTAAAGAAGCGTCTGGCCTCCACGCTGCTGAGGGACACGGAATAGCGAGAAGGATTCTGCCTTCTGTAGGCGATGCTCTCGGCGATGGCTGTCCGGATCACCTGCAGACAGTGAGCACAAGAGTGAGGGCAGCCCAGTGCACAGAGAGCTCAGGGTCTGGCACAGAAGCCGAGGGCACCTCCCCCAACAGCCAAGGCTCTGCGCTCCCCTCACTGGGGTCCCATCCAGGATGGCTCTGAGAATACACCGGAAAGTGCTGTCACCACTGGGAGTACATTCAGGCACCTGGTAACCAACCCCTGTTCTGTGCCTCCTGGGGACGAAGGCACGGTGTGGAAAGAAGTGAACTCACTCTAGGGTTCTCCTCATGTGGAGTAGACGTGGGGGACCTCAGGGAGCCAGATGATGCAGGGATGGTGCTGAGGAACTTCCCAATTCCCAGCTCAGCAGTCAGTCAGGAGTATGGATCCCTGCGCCTGGAGAAGGCCAGGTCTGCGCCCTCCCTCCCCCCAGCACAGACACAGACACAGACATACACACACACACACACACACACACACACACACACACACATATATCTGCATGGAGGGGCTCCCATGTCCACAGGCAGCCTTGCAAGGCCAGTGGGGAGGAGACAGGGCATGCCCAGGAGGGACCCTATGCCCATGGGGCTGGGATGGGGCTGTCTTGGGAAGCAGCTGCTGCATCTGGGGTGAGGCATCAGCACATCTCCTGAGACCCTTTTAAGCCCATAGGCCAAAGAGACTGTGAGACTGGCCAGAGGAAAGACAAAGTGATGGAGGTGTTCACAAGCCCACAGACCTGTACACGAACTGGCCCTTCAGCTGGGGTCACAGTGGCCAGAAGGGGGTGCAGGGAAGAAACACAGCAGATCTTGGGAGTGAAGGACACGGGCTTGCAAGGAGGCTGCTCCTCAGTCCAGACCAGAGACTTCCTGCTTGGGGCCTTGAGTCATCTTTGGATCTTCTGTTTCTGTGTCACTACTGCCATTGGGCACAAATGTCAGGGCAGTCTGGGCCACACTGACCCAGTGAGGCCAGAGAGACACTCATGTACGATAAAATCAAGTACACTCCAAGTACTTAGAGAATGTTTTCTTTCGTACTTCGGTGTCTGGGCCATACCTGGCCAGACCCAGGGGTCGCTCCTAGCAGTACATGAGGACTGAACCCAGGTTTCCTGTCTGCAAAGCTCTGCCCAGTCACTGGAGTTAATCTCCCTGGCCCAAGAGCTTTTAAAATATAGAAGTAGAAAAAAAAAAAAGAAAAAAGAAAAGAAAGAAATCAGAAAGGGGCTGGAGCAATAGCACGCGGCTAACCCAGGTTCGGTTCCCAGCATCCCGTATGGTCCCCTGAGCACCGCCAGGGGTGATTCCTGAGTGCAGAGCTAGGAGTAATCCCTGTGCATCCCCAGGTGTGACCCCCCCCAAAAAAAGATATAGAAGTCCATGGGGAAGGCAGTGATGATGACCGATGTTCACGAGCATGCAAATAATCAGCAGCAGAAATACCGTACTCTAGTGGGCCTACTGTGACTGGACCATGACAGGTGTTTCTAGTGAACAGGCCATGATTACAAAAGAAAATGAACACTTATTCACCTTTGGAACCGGAGAATGCAAATGCAAGTAGACGGTGCGATGTGACCACTAGGTGGCAGTATGGCATTAGGAAAATGAGCATCGTTTTCAAGTTACTGCAGAAAACGCCCATTTGCGGTGATATAAAGAAAAGATGCTAAATCCAGAGCTATATCAATTGCCCAGTGTGAGTTCAAACTGTGGGTGCATCGGGGCTGGAGAGATAGCACAGCGAGGAGGGCGTCTGCCTTGCATGCGGCCGACCCGGGTTTGATTCCCAGCATCCCATATGGTCCCCTGAGCACGGCCAGGAGTAACTCCTGAGTGCAGAGGCAGGAGGAACCCCGTGCATCGCCGGGTATGACCCAAAAAAGAAAAAAAAAACCAAAAAACTGTGGGTGCATGATGCGTGCGTTCTGTGGTCAAGAGCCACCTGGTCAAGAGTCAGGCGTCCCCACCTCAGTCAGCCGATAGCAACAAATGAAGGAGCATGGCCAAAGGCTAGCTGGTAATCAGTAACAGGTTTTTTTTCTGTCTTACAGTGCTAGTTGTTAGTTATATAGAAATCAAGGAGCTGGAGCAATAGCACGACGGGGAGGGCATTTGCCTTGCACGTGGCCGACCCGGGTTCGATTCCCAGCATTCCATCCCATCCCCCAAGCACCGCCAGGAGTAATTCCTGAGTGCAGGGCAGCAGTAATGCCCCCTGAGCATCTCTGGGTGTGACCCAAAAAGCCAAAGGGAAAAAAAAAGAAATCATGAAGGGTGGAGGGTCGGGGTACACATAGGTGTGGTTGAACATTATCATAACAAGAAACAGATATAAAGTCCTTCCCTTCAGACAAGTTCTTCTAGATTAACTCAAGGACAAAATATCACCTGCGGGTTCAGCACTCTAGATTACTAGGAGAACCACTGAGGGGTGGGATTCCATCTATGGGTGTCCTGCTTTCTCCTTTCCTTAGCTAATAATCTATTTTAAAAAATTAAATCTACGTCTTACTAATATTTCTAGTCATTTTGTATGAACAGCGCATGAAGAGTAGCTCTTCCTGTAGGCAGTTCGCTTCAAGGGTTTGGGTTAGGGTTTCTATCCCGGACTATAGTCCTCGGTCCAGGTTAGCCTTTCCTAAGCCTAACAGGGCCCTTATTCAGTTACTTCTTTTTGGGTCATGACAGAGTTTGTTCCATGAGTGTGCTCTTAACTTAATTATACTTCTTATGGAGCTTAGCCTGTCCCCTTTTTCAGTGCCAGGGTAGCTTGAGGCTTGCTCTCAGTCCGTCCAAGTCCTTTGCCAGGACCCTCCTTTTGGGTGTGTTAGGAAGAGAGGGCAAATGAGGCTTAAGTCAAGTAAAAAGGATGGATGCCCAGGAGTAAATATTATTGGAATCAATTAACTCCCACATTACAAAAGCACAGCACCACCTGTCTTCCTGTGTCCAAACGAAAAGGATATTGGCCTAAAGTAACCAAGCAAAAGACATAAAGACAAAAAGCAACATCGAATCAGGAGTATCAGGAGTGCCTGATGGAGTCTGGGTGTGCCTCAGGAGCACTTTGAGGGGTGCATCTCAATAAACCTAAGCTCCCTGTGGGAGAAAACGCATGCGCACACACAAAGATGCACAGACACAAACTCAGACACAGAACATGCAGACACAGACAACCAAAACAGCGACATACAACAGAAACAGACACACTCAGAGTAACACAGAACTTAACACATACGGTAGACACAGCCAATACACACAGAGACACACAGAGACACAGACACATAGACATACATACCACACACACACACACACACACGTGACACCTTTTCCCCACCAAGAACGACAGCACCCGGTCTCAATGTTCATACAGCCCCAGGGACGCCCACCTTCACTCATGGGACCTTGGCTTACGTCCCTGGCAGCTGCTGCCCTCCAGGCTTGTCTTGGCACTGCCGAGAGCTCGGCTTCTACCCAGGGGCCTGATCACGCATCTCCTGGTGACAGGGGCAAACAGGCAGTCGGGGCTCCAAACTCTTCCCTTTACAGCTGATTCAGAGCCCCACAGTGACCCTCTGGGATCTGGCCTGGAAGTGGACCCTGGCCCAAGCGCCACAGGCAGTGCCCACAAGTGTTCTTAGAATGAAAACCTGCATGGTGAAGGGGTCGGGGAAAAAGAGCAGCTGATGGGTGGTACGACAGGAGAGCTATTCTGCAACTGGGTATTTCTGTTCAGGCTCTAGCTCAATCTACTGTGAGGAATGTAAAGTATGTCAACGAGAATGATACTGCATTCTTTAGAGCAAGTAGCTTAGAATGTGTCAGATTAACCAGGACTGAAGGCAATCAGAAGTGCTACTGCTTGTTATATACGCATTCATTGACTGTAGTCAACATATTATATACACGGTCAAAAGAAACTTACAGAGGCGTCTATGTGTGTCCTTCTAGTTTCCAAGTGTTATTGGAGATTTATTTTTTTAAATAGCCTAAATGTTAACTGAGCTGGAGCGATAGCACAGTGGGTAGGGCCTTGCACGCAGCCAACATGGCCGACCCGAGTTCGATTCCTCCGCCCCTCTTGGAGAGCCCGGCAAGCTCCCGAGAGTATCTCGCCCGCACGGCAGAGCCTGGCAAGCTCCCCGTGACGTATTCGATATGCCAGACACAGTAACAACAAAGTCTCCAATGGAGATGTTACTGGGCCCACTTGAGCAAATCGATGAACAACGGGAGGACCGTGACTGACTGAAATGTTTAACCAAATAGCCTAAATCTATTTTTCTTTTCATTTAGGAACAACTGGTTTTGTTGAATGCCTTTTAGCTCACAGAACACATACTTTTGGGTTTATTGGCTTCACATAGGTATTATCACTTAGGTTGCTCCTTTTTTATCAGCCTGGGATAACTTAAAACACAAATCTGTTCTGAGACTTTGTCCCTATAAATCATAAATCAAAATACTATTTGTCTCTTAATAATCTTTGCATTTTTACCATCACCAAGGAAACACCCAACATGTGGATTTTAAATGCCCTTTGCTTGGAAAAGCAAATGCCCTTTGCTCGGCAAAGCCTGGCAAGCTACCCGTGACGTTACTTTGCCAAACACAGTAACAACAAGTCTCAAAATGGAGACGTTACTGGGCCCGCTCGAGCAAATCGATGAACAATGGGAGGACAGTGACAGTGACAGTGTTTGCTTGGAAAAGAAAAGGAATACATATATTCATGAACTGATATAGGCTATAAACTTTGCTAAGAAGCATGCTTTATTTATTTATTTATTTATTTGCCTTTTGGGTCACACCCAGTGATGATGCTCAGGGGTTAATCCTGGCTCTGCGCTCAGGAATTACTCCTGGCAGTGCTTGGGGGCCCATATATGGGATGCTGGGGATTGAACCCAGGTCAGCCGTGTGCAAGGCAAATGGCCCTACCAGCTGTCCTATTGCTCCAGCCCAAGAAGCACGTTTTAAACCCTGGCTTCTGAAACGGTGGGTCACACCCCATGTAGATCATGCAACTCTGAAAATTTGCTTTAAAATAAAATTATTTATGGTTCATTATCAGTAACTGATCTGTATACCAATTTTATGTCCCTCTCTAACTGGGGCTATATAAAACTTTATTAGATTAAAAAGGACTGTGAGTGAAACATTTAAGAAGTCCCCTTTCACCTTGAACTGCCATATAGAATTTCCAAATAAAGTCTGGTAAGAAAGTAGGAGAGAACCCTCTGCCCAGCTGTGCTCTGTGGCGCCAGAGACAAGCCGCTCCCCCTCCATCTCTTTCTTTCCTTCTCAACTCTTTTCCCAATGTGCAAACCCAGCTTGGCTGATGAACTTGTCTTCACAAGCAACAGAACTCTGTGAGAAAGTGATGGGTAGCCGAGTACCCAGAGGAGTTCCTAACTTCAAGGTGAAGAGGTCTCCGAATTTCAGCGCAGACTGGCCGGCAATCGCAATGACAGGAATGGTCGACACAGGAGAGGTGACTCATTGCTGGTTTCTAAAGCAAGCCACGGAGCAGGGCCCACGTGAAGTAGGCGTGGGAGAGCAGAAAGTGAGATTCTCTTTTTTTTTCTGCTTAACGATACTTCTTACACCCCCGCTCTTGTAGAAACCCTTTTAATTACTCTTCTTCTTTCAATTTACCGTACAGTGAATACTCTAGATGCTTAAAGAGGCTAAAGGCTAACCAATCTATATCAAACAGAAGGATTGCATATGGGCTCTGCAACTCAGAGCCACCAGAGGGTCACGCCAGTGCCAACATGTTCAACCGGCGTACGCCCCTGTCTCGCAACGGGAAAGCGGCGGATGTGGTTGATGACCACAGGAAATACTCACGTCGATGTTGTTGAGGGTGTTGAAATGCATCAGATCATGTAGCCTCTTGAAAGCCTGGTTCGGATATTGGAAGTTGAAGGTGGAAAAGGGCGATTCTGGGTCATCAAAAATATCAAAATCTGCTATTTCCTTCTCTTCCTTGGTTTCTCTGGGAACACCTATGTACCAAAAGTCTCAGATGGGGTTGATTGGAAAAGCACCAAGTTTCTCTCCAGTGCAGGGGATCAACCACTGGCCAACTGGGCCTGTGTATTCGTGGACCCTACAGTGCCCACCTTTCACCCCTCCCCTGGTTCCCACTGCCAGTCGTCTCCCTCTGCGCCCAGGGTTGTTCTCTGGCTCTTTGCTCCTGCGCGGAAGGTCCTGTGCTTCGTGCCTGTGACCCCAAACTCTAGAAAGCTGCTGAGAGATTCTTGTGGTGGGGTGCAGGGAAAAGCAGAACTCTGGGCCGGAAGTTCTGCTCCATGTCCTCATTTCCGGGTGTTGACTAGGACAACCCCCCCTCCCTCTTCTCGGACTCTGGGAAACCTTACCAAATACTCCCTACTTGCCTTGGTGCCCCCGGCATCCCACTGAGCTGGCCTCCAGGCAAGTAAGTGTCAGAATGTTTTCTAGGTTCCAGCTACATGGGACTCCAAATGCCAACCGTTACGCCTTCCCTTGGGTGACGTGTGACTCCCATCACTTCCCCTGGCTACCAACCATCATTCTCAGCTGTCGAGAACAAAGTACAAACTTTTCTTCGTCGGCACACCCTCTCAAACCTTCCAGCGCTAGCTTTTCCTTTCTCACCTACATCTTTCGGTGCTAAAATATTTTTTTTAGGCTTTTAGGCCTATCAGCAGGTTGCCTGTCCAGCTCCAGGTCAATGTTGCACCGAGTGGACAACAACGGACACCAGAACAATCCGGGAGGGCAGCAGTAGCAGCCTGCAGTATGACTGCACGGTGGGGAGAGCTATTGTTTCCTGTTTGGATTCTAGACAGCTGAGAATGATGGTTGATAGCCAGGGGAGGTGAAAGGAGTCATGCGTCACCCAAGGGAAAACATAACTGGTGGCATTTGGAGTCCTATGTAGCTGGAACCCAGTTATTGTTTCATTTAAAGGTAGATTTCCAGGGGAATGCTGAGTAATTTTTTTTTCCCCGAGAAGGACGCAGTGGGTCTGGTCTATGTGGGGCATCTGCTTCTGCCAGAACATAGGTAGCCACAGACTCTCAGATATGGTGAGGCATAATGACTATGCCATAAGCCATAGTTGTAGGCTAAACATGGCAACTTAAAAAGACTAGTCATGGGGCCGGAGCGATCGTACAGCGGGGAGGGTGTTTGTCTTGCACGCGGCCGACCCAGGTTCAATTCCCAGCATCCCATATGGGCGCCCGAACACTGCCGCCAAGAGTAATTCCTGAGTGCAAAGCCAGGAGTAAGTCCTGTGCATCACCGGGTGTAACCAAAAAAAAAAAAAAAAGACTATTCATGTGCTTCTGTTGGATTTTATTAATCTTATGGTCAGTGGAAATTCCCAGTTAACCCTAAGATTATAGTCAATGATGAAAAACGCTGAAAATAATTTAAAATACTTTCAGGGGCCAAAGAGAGTAGTGAGTGGGGTGTTTGACTTGCACATGCCTAACCCGAGTTGGTCCCCAGTACCCCATATGGTCCCCCAAGCCAACCAGAAGTGATCCCTGAGCACAGAGCCAGGAATAAGCCCCGAGCACTGCTGTGTGTGTGGACCAAAAACGAAAGAAGTATCTTAATTTCACTTGTACTGCCAAGTAGGGAATGTAGGCCCACCCTGCAGGAACGTCGGCTCTCCTGCTCAGCCACCATGTGCACAGTCCCTAAAGAACTTTCTGCATGCTTGTTGCAAATGAGGCCTCCCGTCGAAAGCTGACAGGCAAAACTGCAAAACACACAACCACCCCACTGACTCATGCTCTCTGCAGATTTCCACCCCACACCTACCTGGAGCTTTGTACTTCCTGAAGTTGATGTTGGCCAGAACAAAGTGGATGATGGTGGGGCAGTCTGTGTCCATATCCGCGTTCTTGGGTTTGAAGACATAGCACTCCTTCAGCCCTTCCCGATCAAACACATAAGGATCAATCTTCGGAAAGGGCAGCTTGTTCATTTTAGCCCACTTTTCTGCAAGGAGAAGTTCCTGGGAGGGAGAGAGAAAGACGCATTGGGGAGCTTGTCTTCTTTCTTCCTGAAGGCCTCGGGAACCGACCATGTGCCAACAGCATGTGCTTGCTACCATCAACCCAGGGAGACGGAACAATAGGACAATGGGGAGGATGCTGGCCTTGCATGTGGCCAACCGGGTCTGGCCCCCAGTACTCCAAGAGCGAGCCCTGAACACAGCTGGGTGTGTGCACGCACACACACAGACACACACACACACGCCTTGGAGAAAAAAAAACCCAACAGGAATCCTGATGGACAATCTTCAAAATGTGTGAAAGGCAATCTGAACGCCCCTCAACACACTCATTACAGCAAGCCCATTCTTGGCTCAGAGCCTTTGTAGGAGACATCTGAAAAATGACTGATGAACTGAGCTGAGGAAAGTGAGGTCAACTGAGGGGCTGCAGTCATAGAACCATGGGGAGGGCCTTGCACAGAGCTGACACAGGTTCAAATCCCTGGCACCACATATGATCTCCTGAGCCCTACCAAGAGTGATTCACAAGTCCTGAGCACAGCTGGACTTAAAAAAAAAAAAATAAAGCAAAATTTGGTCAATGGAGTTGCTAGTTAAAAAAAAAAAGTGTAAGCCTATATGTGTTATATATAATAAGTTTGGGACCCTTATAAGCTACTGGAGATAACCAAGTGGAGTGAGGCTATTGTACTTTTTTAAAAACCTGTATCTACTCCATAAAGCTAATTAAGTATTTAGGCAATATATTAATAATTTACTTTAATACATTATGACTCCGCACGGCAGAGTCTGGCAAACTTTCCGTGTCGTACTCAATATGCCAAATACCAGTAACAATGGTGGGTCTCATTCTCCTAATCCTGAAAGAGCATTGAAATGGCTCTTTTAAAATCTCAGGGCTAGAAAGGAGACATTACTGGTGCCTGCTTGAGGAAATCGACGAACAACAGGATGATCGTGATATTATTAAATAATTCAATATTCAGACATTTTATAAATGTAAAAGTATCTGGCTCTTCTTTTGCTCTATTTCTGGGTGCTCACAGTGCGCTGGACAACTCTTCTCTGCAGTAATTGTCCCAACAGCCCTGAAGTCTCTAAGTTACCACACTCACACACCAGTGTGGTCCAGGCAGTACTCTCTGCCTGAAACAACAGGCCCCAATTCCACCTCATCTCCATGGAGCCTGTTTCTACAACTCAGAGGCCATGGAGACTTAGACGACTGGCTCATGGAGTGACAAGCTATGACTGGCCACATGCTACTCTACCATCCTAGGGACCAATGTGCGTAGCACGAAGGGATTGTGCTCTGTGAATAAGGAAATGAAAAATGGAGATGGTTTCACTCATATGTGGAACAACAATCACTACAGCAAGGAACCAGCCCAACACAACGAAACTTATTCCTCAGCTGGGAGAGAACTATGGTGGTGAGCGGAAGGACAGTGAAGGGAAAGGAAAGGATGAGGCTGGGGTCTTCTTGCTGGTGGAGGGCACCAGAACTTTGGGGGTGAAGGTAGTGACAATTACACACATGGAGAAGTGTAAATTTACTTATTTATTTTGCTTTTTGGGTCACACTCAGCAATGCTCAGGGCTGACTCCTGGCTCTGCACTCAGGAATCACTCCTGGCGGTGCTCAGGGGACCCTATGGGATGCTGGGAATCGAACCCAGGTCAGCCACATACAAGGCAAACACCCTACCCGCTGTGCTATCGCTCCAGCCCCCGAGAAGTGTGAATTTAAACCCCTGAAATACCATATGATTGTAAATCAATGATAGATCAGTGGGGGGAGGGGGCACTATCTTCCCTACCAACGAAGTAAACATAAAAATGAGATAATGTGGGATATGCATTAAAACCTTTCAGTATCTGTACTGCAAACCATAATGCAGAGAGAGAGAGAGAGAGAGTGAGAGAGAGAGAGAGAGCCTGCCATAGAGATGTGAGTAGGACGGGAGGGAAACTGGGGATGTTGGTGGTGGAAAATAAAAATGTGCACTGGTGAAGGGACAGGTGTTGGAACACTGCATGACTGAACAACTTTGTAACTGTGTATCATGATGATTCTATTAAAAATTAATTTTTTAAAAATGAAAAAATAATGTATATTTTAAAAATCTGTGGGGGCAGAGCACTAGTATAATGAGTTAATGAGTAGGGCACATGCCCTTGCGTGTGGCTGACCTGGTTTCAATTCCTAGAAACCCATATGGTCCTCCAAGTCCTGAGAGGAGTGATCCCTGAGTGCAGAGCCAAGAGTAAACCTTGAGCACCACTGCGTATGGCCCTCCCCCATTAGTAATAAACTTAAATAATAATAAACTTAACATTCTGTCATTTAGATTTTAGAAAACAATATTTTAAAATACAGCAGCTTAGGACCAGAGATATAGCACAGGGATTAAGGGGCTTGCGTTCAAGTGGGCCCCATTCAATACCTGAACCAGGGGTAGCCCTGAGCACTGTTGGGTGTGGTCCAACTCTTCCAAATAAAATGAAACGAAACTGTATCTTAAACGTAGATAAAGGGCTAGAGTGATAGTACAGCGCTTGCCTTGCAGGTGGGTCCTGGGTTCGATTCCCAGCATTCCATAGGAGCACTGCCAGGAGTAATTCCTGAGTGCAGAGCCAGGAGTAATCCCTGAGCATCGCCAGGTGTGACCCAAAAAAGCAAAAATAAATAAATAAATGAAACTTAAATAAAAATACAGTTCTCCTTGAAACCTTACAGTTGGAGATTTCTGGTGTTGCGTTTTCACTGGATTCTCTCAATACCATTTACAAAGGCTTACACATCTGTTCTCACTTACGCATGAAAGAAAAAGATTTCAGGCAGACAGATTCAATATTGCTCATAACCAGCAAGCATTAAATATTTCAGTGGAAATCCCACATATACGTGATGAATTGCTTCGGCATGTAAAAGGACTTTGATCGCTCATTCCTTTTTCCTCTCTGGCCAGCCAAAGTATTCAGTTAGTTCTTGGCAGCACTGTTCATAATTATTCACTCAAGATTATTCAGCACCAAAAACTAAAAGGAAAGTTCACTCCGTGAACCAACTGCGTGAGAAGGATGAGGAAGGCCCTTTCTAATGTTTACAAACATGACTCAGGGGATGACCACCATGTGTGGACTGTGGGGAGCGGGGAAAGGAATCACCTAGGTCGAGGCCGGGCTATTTTTACACAGAGATGTGACGTGGATTCAGGAAGCCACGGAAACTTTCTCTTTCCCTCTGCAATCCGGATGTGGAAAAGATTGAAAACTACTGATGACAGGCTGGAAAAACCACATCTTCTTTCATGTCTCCTTTCCAGTCCAGACTGAGAAAGCAGGGAGATAGTGAGCAGAGGAGCTGGTGTGAGACACGTGGGAAGAAAACGCACAGACACACGCCACATACCATGGCCACTGGTGCTGTGACAACACTCTAGGTGGGCCTCCTGACCACTCCCAAACGTCCCACTTCCACAGATGAGCTCTCAATGCAGGTCTACAGTCCTCACTGGGACTCCTGTGGAGGGGGACACCTCTTGGGAGCTCTTCTTTTTCTGCATAGTGAAAAGTGAAATCACTTATCTTGAAATACTAATCTGATTAATATTCTTTAAAGAATAAATACCCTACTGAAACAGAACTCAGCCAAAAGTACAGACTGATGTTATCCGGAGTGTTTTTACTGACATCTTAAATTTCTTTTTTGTCAATTTCCTCATATCTTATTTAAAAAAAAAAAACACAAGTTTCCAAGATTGTATATGTCTCAAGGATGTAATATTACCACATCACACCCACCACTAAGTTTCCGAGTTCATTTTTGGGCACAAAATATGATTCTTTTTTGAGTCATAATTGAGAAATAGCCTTTTCTTAGTTTTAGATGTATTATGGCATCATGACTTGATTTGTGTGTGTGTTGCTTTATTTTGAGGGGTTATACTCAGCAGTGTTCAGGACTTACTCCTGACTGTGCTCAGGGGTCATGCCTGGAGGTGTTTAGGGGATCATATATGGTGCTGGGAACTGAACCAGAGTTGGCTGTGTGCAAGACAAGCACTGAAATCCCTGTGCTACTTCTGATTTGATATTTTCATATACTGTAGAATAATCACTACAATCACCACTCATGGTTAGTTTTTCTTCTCTTGGCAACGTTCAAATATAAACAGTGTTGTGAACTATGGTCACCACATTGCACATTATTAAAACAGCTTGAGGGGCTGGAGCGATAGCACAGCAGGGAGGGCGTTTGCCTGGCACGCGGCCAACCCGGGTTCGATTCCCAGCATCCCATATGGTCCCCTGAGCACCGCCAGGAGTAATTCCTGAGTGCAGAGCCAAGAGTAACCCCTGAGCATTGCCGGGTGTGACCCAAACAGCAAAATAAATAAATAAATAAATAAATAAACAAACAAACAAACCAGCTTGGAAGGATAGGAAAAACCATCTAATAAAGAAATATCATGACAACTTAGAGTGAAAGATATATGGATGAGGGGCTGGAGCAATAGCACAGCGGGCAGGGCGTTTGCCTTGCACGCGGCCGACCTGGGTTCGATTCCCAGCATCCCATCATCCCATATGGTCCCCTGAGCATCGCCAGTAATTCCTGAGGGCAGAGCCTGGAGGAACCCCGGTGTATCACCGGGTGTGAACCAAAAAGCAAAAAAAAAAAAAAGATGTATAGATGTAATACATATACATTTAAATATTAACAATATATTTCTCCTTAATTCTTTTTTCTATGAGAACTTTTCTTGGTTCCTACAAACCTAGGATATGTGCTTTCTTTACTTATGGGGTGAAATGAAGGTGCAGTTTGGGTCACACCCAGCGATGCTCATGGCTTACTCCTGACTCTGCACTCAAGGATCACTCCTGGGTGTTCAGGGGACCATATGAGGTGTCAGGGATTGAATCTGGGTCAGTAAGTGCAAGATAAGTGCCATCCCACTCTTATCTTACTGGCCCCAAGATATAATCCT